TAAAAACACATAACTCCTTCTTCACCAAAGCACACCACGTTATCACAACCCACTCGTATTCAACCCAAACGCAAAAACCTATACAGCACGACTAGCTCACAAAATACTGTAATATCTCCATCAATAACCCAAGCAACCTCACAAATACAACCTCAAGAACAAAGAAACACCATAAACACAAGTAACGCAACATGTACTACAAAGACAGGTCCATCCAATAAAGTTACACGCCCTAGCACATTTAAAAAACACAAAACTCCTTCTTCACAGAAACACACCACATTTTCACAACCCACTCGTATTCAACCGAAACGCAAAAACCTTAACAGAACTACAGGCTCACAACATACTAAACTATCTCCACCAAAAACCCAAGCAACTTCACAAATACAACCTCAAGAACAAAGAAACATCATAAATACAAGTAACGCAACATGCACTACAAAGACAGGTCCACCCAACAAAGTTACACGCCCTAGCACAATTAAAAAACACATAACTCCTTCTTCACCGAAGCACACCACGTTATCACAACCCACTCGTATTCAACCCAAACGCAAAAACCTATACAGCACTACTAGCTCACAAAATACTGTAATATCTCCATCAATAACCCAAGCAACCTCACAAATACAACCTCAAGAACAAAAAAACACCATAAACACAAGTAACGCAACATGTACTACAAAGACAGGTCCATCCAATAAAGTTACACGCCCTAGCACAGTTAAAAAACACAATACTCCTTCTTCTCAGAAACAACCCACTCGTATACAACCGAAACGCAAAAACCTTAACAGCACCACAGGCTCGCAAAATACTGCAATATCTCCACCAAAAACCCAAGCAACCTCACAAATACGACCTCAGGAACAAAGAAACACCATAAATACAATTAAAAAACACAAAACTCCTTCTTCACAGAAACACACCACGTTATCACAACCCACTCGTATTCAACCCAAACGCAAAGCCAAAGAAACACTTACACAATAAACTCCATTTTAATAAAATTACAGGAATTATTATAATGATTTTTTTTTGTTTTGTTTTGTTTTCCTCTTTCCTGATAGCGTTGGCTATTGTGCCCATCAATAGGTATGTTGGTAAGTACGAATTACATTATCCCTAGATGTCCAATGTACGTGTGTGATTTTTATTTTTTTTTTATTTGTTTATTTTTTTTATTTTTTTTTTAAGGACCCTACATAACTTCACCAGACACAGACACAGACACTAATCGTTACTTGATTTTAATCCGTGCGATTAGTTAACCAGGCTAGACCTGAGTTCTCACAAGAAACACCGACCATAATAATAATAATAATTGAAGCACTACTCAACACAAACAACACACTCACCGTACAAGATAATACATCCGTTCTAAACAACTCTGAAATACAGACACTTGCGACACTGCAGCCATCGATAGATACAAATAATCACACGAACCAAACACTCACATCCCTTCAAAAAGAATTCGACAATGCATTATTAGAATTCTCAAACACTGACCCAACACAAAGACCACGAATACCTAAACAAAGTCACACTACAAAATTACGCACACTTTCACAAACATTAAATGACCACATTTTACCAAATTACATTAACGATAACACAAGCTTACATCAACTACACTTTGTTGTGTATTGCGGTGCGGTTGCAGTTTCTAGATGTAACGGTGCAAGAATCGCAATAAACAAACAACAGCACACAACAAAAAAACGCTCACCCCCGGCCTGGGAAAAGCGCCTGATAAATCGCATCGATGACATCAGACGTGACTTGGGTCGGATTACACAATACATACAAGGAACTCGTTCTTCAAAACTAACACGACAAGTACAATACATAACTACAAAACTAAACAATCACACCACACGAGAACAAAATACAAACTATAACCAAAGATCATACTGCACTAGATAGCCAGCGTATATGCAAGAGTTGTTTCGCGTTTAAGTTAGTTCCATAAAAATATTTATAGGGGGCTTTCAAAGTTAAGAGCGTAACTGATTCATCCGAAGCCGTCTTCGTACGAGTTCGAATCATATCATAAATACAAAGAGTGATTGATTATTGTCTAAACACGAGACACATAAACATGACCTACTGAACACTCGTCACTATCATTGGGATGAAATTACATTTGTAAGTGGGCGTGGCGTCATTCAAGACGAGGTAGATTCTATTACAGTCAGGACGTTACAATGAAAGAAATAATTTGAAAGTTGTACACAATATTCCCTTTGCTTTTTTTTAACCAGCGCTAACCAATACATTTTCCATATTTTCGAATTAAATTAATAATTGCAAAAGCGTCTTTTTTCTTAGCATAATTTCTGAAAACTTTTAGTTTCACGTATCTACGATACTTTAGCAAATCTTCAAATAGGTATAATATCACAGATTTAAATATACTATAAATCTGTGATAATATGCACCTACTTATCCAGGCATATTTACATTGTAAGCACAGATTTATCTAATTTAGATTTGTTATAATTAAGCATTTTATGATTGGGATAAACGAGATATCCCGCTTAGCCTCCTACATAATAAAAGTGTGTCCAGCTAAAGTGAGTCGGAACTAGAAGCGTCTGTGGTTAAAATTTCAAAGAAATATCTCCATAAATATGAAAGTTGGCATTGCGCAGTCTGCGCAAAATATGGAAAATACGAAACTGATCGAAATGGGCAAATATAGACCATAACGGCTATCAATTAGCGAAAACCCGAAGTCTCTAGGTGGCCCAGGGGCCGAGATCTCGATGGAACGGATGGACGGACGGACGGACAGACGGAAACACGAGCACATAAGCTTTACCTCAACTTCGTTGTGTTACGATAAAAATTTTAATTTAAAACAAGATGTGAATATTCGGTATTTTAATTTACAGTAAGGTAACCAGATAAAAACATCTATAACACCCACACAAGGTTGCGCTTAGGAATGACACCGATATCCCATACAATAGCCCTTTATTCTAAAAATAACTGTGCTTTGCCATTTCGCGCGTCTTCTTACCCCGCCAGGTTGTTTGTACTATTCTCATAAAAACATAGCCGCTGGAGGACGCAGTCGACTTATTTGGCGGGACGAATTATGAGAGTCTAAAATTTATACAGCGCTGTCTATCTAGTGTAGTATGATCTTTGCTATAACGAACATAGAAATACACTCACACAAAAACTATCAATATACACAAACCGTTTAAAACGCTATAGGGAAACTGCAGACAGAAAGCGCCATAACACACAATTTAAACATAACGAAAAACTATTTTACAGATCACTAACACAAAACAGCACTAATGAAAAACTCATTCCACCATCTCTACACTCACTCCAGCAATACTGGTCTGACTTATGGACCAAAGACATTAAACACAATCCACACGCCCCGTGGATTACCACAGAAACCACACGCACTGAATACATTACCCCTATGAATAACACAAATATCACTACAACAGACATCATTCAAACTATTAATCACTTACATAACTGGAAAAGTCCAGGCATTGATAACATTCACAACTTTTGGTGGAAATCTTTTACCTACACTCACTCTTACCTTGCACAACAATTTACTGAACTTCTTAATTCACCAGATCGCACTCCTGCATTCTTTACACAAGGTATCACTTATATGCTCCCAAAAGACAACAATACACAAGACCCATCTAAATATAGACCAATTACATGCCTTCCTACAATATACAAAATCCTTACATCATGCATTACAAACAAAATATACCAACACTGTACTGATAACAACATTTTATACGAAGAACAAAAAGGGTGTACCAAGTATTCCAGAGGCTGTAAAGAGCAACTCTGTTATACTTGAACAATCCAGACATAACAAACGAAACATACACACTGCATACATTGATTACAAAAAAGCATTCGATTCAGTACCACACTCTTGGTTACAACAAGTACTTCAATATACAAGGTCAGCAACAATATTACACAATTCCTCAATTACATAATGTCATGTTGGAACACTACGTTAACACTTACACTAAACGACACAAAACTTATTACCGACCCAATACAAATTAAAAGAGGAATTTTTCAAGGCGATTCTTTAAGTCCGCTCTGGTTTTGTCTTGCTCCATATTTGTTAAACACTACTAACTTTGGGTACAATATTAAACACAACCACGAAATACATCACAACATTACACACCTGTTTTACATGGACGATCTTAAATTATACTCTTCCACAAGCATAAAACTTAATCACCTTCTACACATTACCGAAACATTCTCACGTGACATACAAATGGACTTTGGAATCGATAAATGTAAAACACAACACATCACAGCTGGTAAAAGAGAACTTTTAGATTATGAGCTAGAACAGGGTAATTTAATAAATTCCATGGACGAAAATGAAACTTATAAGTATCTTGGTTTTCAGCAAAACACACACATTAAACATACGAGTATAAAACAAACACTTATTACACAATACCTACAAAGAGTACGCAGTATACTTAAAACACAATTACACGGTAGAAATACAATCAAGGCTATTAACACTTATGCCACACCAGTGCTTACATACTCTTTTGGGATTATACGTTGGACAAATACAGATTTAGAACAAATACAGAGAAACACACGTACACTATTAACAAAACACCATATACATCACCCTCACTCCTCTACTATACGACTTTACCTTCCTCGTTCGGAAGGAGGTAGAGGACTTACAGATATAAAACTATTGCACCAAACACAAATGTTATAAATATGCTACTTTAATAACTCAAAAAGATACACGAGAATTCCTCAAACAATACATGGTCATGCTCGAACACAACCTCACTTATTCTAGCGTCTCTGCCACTCCTGTCCAGTGGCGTACCGGCCAGCGTCTCCCGTGCGTACACAACACTCCTCCCCCTTTACGTACGCACACTCATAGTCTTGTAAGTGCCTTGGTGGTCGGCGATTCCGCTCAGGCCGTGGTGTGCTGGGACGTGGCGTGGTTCCTCCTTCTGGTGATGGGAGTTTCGCTCTAAGAGAACCTTCTGGCGATGCCATAGGTTGCTCTGCCCGTTCCGGAATGGCTTCTTGTTCGTCTTCATCTGTTTCTGAAGATGTTTCTATCCCGGGGACTTCTTGTTCGATGGGACGTGTAACCATTTGGTTGCTGTGCCGATGCAACAACTTCCCCTCCGGAGTCTGTACTTTGTATGACACTGGTCCTGTTTTCTGCACAACCTGGGCTGGAATCCACTTGTCTCCCGGCACGTAACTACGAACACCTACATGTTGTCCTTCCTTGAAGCTTCGCACTTCTGTCCCTAACAACTGGTCCCTTTTCTGATCCATCTCCGTGGTCAAGCTGGGTTTAATGCGATCCAGTGCAGTGGTGATCCTCCGGCCCATCAATAATTCGGCAGGTGATTGTCCTGTTGTTGTGCACGGCGTCGCGTGTTGGGCCAATAAGAATCGAGAGATCCTGGTCTCCACGTCCCCTTTGCCCATCTTCTTCAGCGAGTCTTTCGCAAATTGCACCATCCTCTCTGCCTGCCCATTTGATGATGGCTTATACGGGGCCACATTCACTGCTCGGCATCCATTCTTCTTAGCGAAAAGCTTGAATTCTTCAGACGTGAATGCTGTGCCGTTATCGCTGACTATGACGTCCGGCAGCCCATGTGTCGCAAATATCTCCCGTAATACTTGGATGGTGGTTGTCGATGAAAGGGAAGGGACTCGTCTCATCTCTAACCACTTGCTGTACGAGTCAACAACCAGGAGAAAATAGTTCCCGTTCACTGGGCCGGCATGGTCCACGTGAATGCGCTGCCATGGTTCCCTTGCGAACTCCCAAGGGTGAATGGGAGCCTTGGGTGGCATATGTCTGTGTTGCTGGCATATTTCGCATTTGGCAACAAAATCCTCGATGTCCGAGTCCACTCCTGGCCACCATACATAACTTCTTGCCAGCGCCTTCATGCGAATGATCCCTGGGTGAGCCTCGTGCAACACCTGCAGAATCCTTTTTCTCTCTCCCGGCGGAATAATGACACGGGTTCCAGTCAACAGGCAATTCCTATACGACGTGATATCATTCCGCCGCGTCCAGTATGGCTTAATATCAGATTGCAGGTCCCTTAGCGATGTGGGCCATCCACTTAATGCAAAATCTCTTACACGAGCTAAGACGGGATCCTTAGCAGTTTGTCTAGCTACATCTTGGGCAGATACTGGAGATTCTTCCACACACTCAAACATCAGGACATCCGCGCATCTCGGAACATCTTCTCGAGTTGTCGGTAGCGGAAGCCTACACAAGGCATCAGCATGTGGAATTTTCTTACCCGCTACATGGACCAAATTGTAATCGTATGCGCTCAAATTGTACCTCCAGCGCAGCATGCGAGGCGATATTTCGTTTGGGCAATGCTTATTCTCTCCCAGGATTCCCAGCAAGGGCTTATGGTCTGTTCGAATTTCAACCTTCCGTCCGAATATGTAGTTGTGGAATTTCGTAACTCCCACCATGATGGCTAACGCTTCTTTATCCACCTGGGCAAAGTTTCTTTCCGGCTTTGACAACGTACGGCTATGGAATGCGATGGGCGCCTCCCTTCCGTTTTCCTGCGGCTGACTGAGAACCATGCCTACTCCAAACGAACTCGCATCTACGGTTAAGATTAGTTTCCTACCTTCATGGTAATGGCATAAAATGGGTTTTTTCGTTAATAGCGACTTAACACGCCCAAATGCCTGTGCTTCGTCTCTTCCCCATCTAAATGTTACATTTTTATGCAGTAACTTATGCAGTGGCTCCGCTATTGTTGCTTTCGATTCGAGGAATGGCCCATAGAAATTGACCAATCCCAAGAAGGCTTGCAGTTCCGTAACATTACTTGGGGCCGGTGCTCGAATGATCTAGGAATTCGATTTCATGTACGTTGAATACACATTTTGCCTTCTTCAGCTTAAGGCCGTCTTCTCTAAATCTGGTCAGAACTTCCCGCAATCGTCCTAACATAATTAATAATTTGAAGCACTACTCAAAACACAAACACAACACACTTCACCGTACAAGATAATACATCCGTCTAAACAACTCTAAATACAGAGGACACTTGCGACACTGCAGCCATCGATAGATACAAATAATCACACGAACCAAAACACTCACATCCCTTCAAAAAGAATTCGACAATTGCATATTTAGAAGTTCTCAAACACTGACCCACACAAAGGGACCACGAATACCTAAAACAAAGTCCACACTTTACAAAATTACGCACACTTTTCACAAAACATTTAAATGACCACATTTTACCAAATTACATAACGATAACACAAGCTTACATCAACTACACTTTTGTTGTGTATTGCCGGTGCGGTTGCAGTTCTAGATTAAACGGTGGCAAAGAATCGCAATAAACAAACAACAGCACACAACAAAAAAACGCTCACCCCGCGCCTGGGAAAAGCCGCCTGATAAATCGCATGCGATGACATTCAGACGTGACTTGGGTCGGATTTTACACAATACATACAAGGAACTCGTTCTTCAAAACTAAACACGACAAGTACAATACATAACTACAAAAACTAAAACAATCACCACCACACGAGAACAAAAATACAAACTATAACCAAAAGATCCATTACTGCACTAGATAGCCAGCGTATATGCAAAAGAGTTGTTTCGCGTTTAACGTTAGTTCCAATTAAAAATATTTTATTAGGGGGTTTTCAAAGTAAGCAGCGTAACTGATTCATCGGAAGCCGTCTTCCTTTACGAGTTCGAATCATATTCATAAAGACAAAGAGTGATTATTGTCTAAAACACGAGACACATAAAACATTGACCTACTGAACCAACTCCTCACTATCCAATTGGGATAAAATTACATTTGTAAGTGGGGCGTCATTTCAAGTACGAGGTAGATTCTATTACAGTCAGGACGTTACAAGAAAGAAATAATTTTGAAAGTTGTACCACAATATTCCCTTTGCTTTTTTTTAACCAGCCGCTAACCAATTACATTTTCCCATTATTTCGAATTAAATTAATAATTTGCAAAAGCGTCTTTTTTTCTTAGCATAATTCTGAAAAACTTTATTTCACGTATCTTACGATACTTTAGCAAATCTTCAAATAGGTATTATAATATCCACAGATTTTAATAATCTATAAAGTCTGTGATAATATGCACCTACTTATCCAGGCATATTTCATTGTAAGCCACAGATTTATCTTAATTAGCATTTTTATAATTTAAGCACTTTTATTTGATTGGGATAAACGAGATATCCCGCTTAGCCTCCTAACATAATAAAATTGTGTCCAGCTTAAAGTGAGCTCGGGAACTAGGAATCGTCTTTGGTTAAAATTTCAAAGAAATATCTCCATTAAATATGAATGTTGGCATTCGCAGTCTGCGCAAAATATTGAAAATTACGAAACTGCATCGAAAATGGGCAAATATAGACCATAACGGCTTATCAATTATGCGAAACCGGAAAGTTCTCTAGGTGGCCCAGGGGCCGAGATCTCGATGAAACGGATGGGACGGACGGGAACGGGACAGACGGAAACACGAGGCACTAAGCTTTACCTCAACTTCGTTGTGTACGATAAAAAAATTTAATTTAAAACAAGATGTGAATATTCGGTATTTAATTTACAGTAAGGTAACCAGATAAAAACATCTATAAACACCCACACAAGGTTTCGCTTAGGAATGACACCCCCATATCCCAATACAATAGCCCTTTATTCTAAAAATAAACTTGTTGGCTTTGCCATTTCGCGCGTCTTCTTACCCCGCCAGGTTTGTTTGACTATTCTCATTAAAAACATAGCCGCTGGAGGACGCAGTCGAACTTATTTGGCGGTGACGAATTTATGAGAGTCTTAAAATTTATACCAGCGCGTCTATCTAGTGTAGTATGATCTTTGCTATAACGAACATAGAAATACACTCACACAAAAAAACTATCAAGTATACACAAACCGTTTTTAAAACGCCCTATCTATAGGGAAACTTGCAGAACAGAAAGCCGCCATAACACATAATTTAAACATAACGAAAAAACTATTTTACAGATCACTAACACAAAACAGCACAATTGAAAAACTCATTCCACCATCGCTACACTCCACTCCAGCAATTACTGTCTTGACTTATGGCACCAAAGACATTAAACACCAATCCACCACGCCCGTGGATTTTACCACAGAAACCACACGCACTGTACATTACCCCTATGAATAACACAAATATCACTACAACAGGACATCAATTCAAAACTATTAACACGTAACATAACTGGAAAAGTTCCAGCATTGCATAACATTTCACAACTTTTGGTGGCGAAATCTTTTACCTACCCACTCACTCTTACCTTGCACAAATTTACTGACTCTTAATTCACCAGATCGCACTCCTGCATTCTTTTACACAAAGTATCACTTATATGCTTTCCAAAAAGACACAATTACACAAGACCCATCTAAATATAGGGACCAATTACATGCCTTTCCACAATATTACAAAAATCCTCTAACATCATGCATTACAAACAAAATATACCCAAACACTGTACTGATAACAACATTTTATACGAAGAACAAAAAGGGTGCTACCAAGTATTCCCAGAGGCTGTACAAGCAGGCAAACTCTGTTATACTTGAAACAATCCAGACATAACAAACGAAACATACCACTGCATACATTGATTACAAAAAAGCATTCGATTCAGTACCACACTCTTGGTTACAACAAGTTACTCTCAATATAACAAGGTCAGCAACAAATATTACACAATCCCTTCAATTAACATAATGTCATGTGGAACACAGGTTAACACTTACACTAAACGACACAAAACTTATTACCGACCCAATACAAAATAAAAGAGGCAATTTTTCAAGGCGATTTTTAAGTCCGCTTCTGGTTTTGTCTTGCTCCATATTTGTTAAACACTACTAACTTTGGGGCTACAATATTAAACACAACCACGAAATACATCACAACATAACACACCGTGTTTTTACATGGACGATCTTAAATTATTACCTCCAACAAGCATAAAACTTAATCCACCTTCTACACATTACCGGAAAACATCTCATTCATCTCGTGACATCAAAATGGACTTTGGAATCGATTAAATGTTAAAAACACAACAACATCACAGCTGGTAAAAGAGAACTTTTAGATATGAGCTAGAACAGGCGTAATTTAATAAATTCCATGAGACGAGAATGAAACTTATAAGATTTCTTGGGTTTTCAAGGCAAAACACACCACATTTAAACATTACGAGGTATAAAACAAACCTTATTACACAATACCTTACAAAGAGTACGCAGTATACTTAAAACAAAATTACACTGGTAGATTTTAATCCGTGCGATTAGTTAACCAGGCTAGACCTGAGTTCTCACAAGAAACACCGACCATAATAACAACCTAACACAAGAAAACGTAGACGAGACACTTGACATAACAACATCAGAACAAAAAAAGATCAAGTGGTCAGAAAAAATACTGCACGGTCAACACTTTGCACTAGTACAAGACATTCATATTGACAAAACACTAACGTACTCCTGGTTAACAGCGGGGAAATTATTTCCCGAAACAGAAGCCTTTATTATGGCAATACAAGACAGAGTAATAGCAACAAGAAATTACAGAAAGTACATCATAAAAGAACTTATCGACACAGATAAATGTAGAAAATGCCATGCATATCAAGAAACAATTGAACATATTACAGGAGGGTGTAAAGTAATTGCAGGCACCGACTACACGAATAGAGACAACACAGCAGCAAAAATCATACACCAAGAACTCGCACTAAAACACCAACTGATTCAAACACGCACACCATACTACAAGTATACACCGTTAAACATACTACATAGAAAACAACGAATACAAATTATACTGGGACAGGACATTACATACGGACAAGACAATCGCACATAACAGACCGGACATTACACTAATTAATAAAACCGCACACACAACACAGTTAATAGACATAGCCATCCCAAACGACGCTAATCTCATACACAAAGAGCAAGAAAAGATCATAAAGTATACTCCACTAGCAATAGAACTCAAAGAACTCTGGAAGCAAGAACAAGTAACAATAGTACCGGTCGTACTCTCAGTTACAGGACTCACAACAAAAACATTTACACATCACTTACAAGCACTACAACTCAGCACACATTTTTACCGGCATCGATAGTGATTACTTACGACGATGAAGAGTACAGAATATTCCTATCCGATGATAAAGTAAAATGTTACAGATGCAATGGATTCGGTCATATTGCATCTAAGTGTACACACATAGAGACTGAAATGGGTGGAGAATTAGTAATAGACACCCATAACAATAACAAGAGGCCTCACCCTCCCACGGAAACGACTTCAACTCGAACTGAAGTAACAATCAGAGCAGATACACTACAGCATTTTGGAGAGATATGGACTGATGATGGCGAACCTGACAGTCAAGAGACAAACGAAAATTCCAGGATCACCGGCACTCAAGATTTCGCCAAACCCAGGGAACGCTCTGCATCCAAGGTTACAACAAAAAAACGAAAGGTTGAGACAACGTTACGCAGAGAA